TTTAAGCACGGCCCTTGCAGGCAATTCGTACCGTTTTAGAGGCTATTCATTTCTCTAGCAACGCGTTTGGTGTAAAACAACTTCTGGAAGTCTGTTTTAATATGAGGTCTTACAGAAACGACAGTTAGGAACGTAGTACGACAAACTCTCTTCTGGTCGATTTTTCGATCAGTATGAACTGTGGGGTCTCACCTGGAACAAAACTAAGAAAATCGTCAGCCTTGAAGTGACTAGAAACTCAAGTGTCAGCTTAATTTTTGTCAGGAGGACGGACAATTTTCTAAACAGTACCTAACAAGGGACACCCTTGGAATTGAAAGAGTATGTCAGATATTCGAAGAAAATTCGAAAGCGTATTTAGGTGTGGACAAGACATTTTCGTCCTGCTCGAGTTCAGGCTCATCCACAAACACGTTTCTAGCTACTCCTGCAAGGAACAAGGGATGGCCAAAATTGCAATGAGATTAGGTGGGCAACCGGGAAAATTGTATTGTGCGCTCGGTGTAGAAAACGTAGATGAAGGCATAAACGATATACAATGTGATGAAACAATAGGAACTAGTAATTAACAAGGTGATAAAAACTTTTACAGATATAGTTAAGCACACTATGAAAAGGAACTGCTCTGTTCCTTACTTTGTCGACTAATATCAGCTTGGGGTCCCTGGTATATATTCTGCAATGTTACCTAAATTTGCTTATGTACCGATTTTACAACTCCACCTTAAGGAGAATGGGCCTGATCGCGTTAACGTGTTCCTTTAACAGACGTTTTAATAAGGAAAACAACAAAGTAGTTATATGATGAAAGTGCACAACAAAGCACGTGAGCGGGAAAAGCGGTTGCAGACCAGTATTGTGGCACAATTTAGATATGAAAGGTCACTGGCGTATAGATAGGTGTCTCGCAGTTTTTTTTCTTTGTTATTAATAAACGTTACAGTCACTTTAAAGTTTATTTTGTACCCTCCAGCCCAAACTAGCTGCCGTTTGACGGGACAGTGCCATTCGTCAAGCCTCTTCGTCGAAGGGGTATAGTAATCGTAATAATAACGATAATCATAATAGCTATCCGTGAACAGCATTTGAATAAAGCGGGAGAACTCTGCGAAGTCTATTAAAGGCTTCGTCTACCGACAACGTTTACGTGGACGTCTTCTTGCTCAGATACACAAACACAAAGGTACGTGGAGACATCCATAGTATTAGATATAGTAGTGAGTATCGTAAATGTGAAGTCATCCGAAAGGCTGTCGACAGTGGATGACATTCGACCGTTTTTCTTCTTTCTCTTTTTGCGAAAATATTGTTAACCGTCCGCGTCGACGCAAACATATACCACGGCCAAAATATAGCAGTCGATTCTATTTTATTGTTGACTTAGCAGCAGCCGCGTGGCATTCAAATAAACTTCGACAGGGCCTGCTACCGCAGTCAGACTAAGTACCTTAACTACAACTTTAACTGGCATCGAAAGGATGGGCACAGTGCACAGGACTCGATTATGGTGGCTTCTTCTACGTACATTGAATAATAGCAAAAACGATACATAGTTTTTCTGGATCGTTGGCGACCATCTATCTTACACCTGTTAACGTAGAAGAAGATACCTACATCACAACAAACTGGGCAACACATTTGTAGCAAAAACTCCAACAAAAGGAAGACCATCCCTATAATATCATCCTAGAAGCGTATTACAGGGTAGGATATTACAGTGGTGTATATTGAAGATGCAAAATTTAACCATTTTACCCAGATAACGGAATATTTTTCCGTTTTTTTTATTTTTTTTTTCGAGGTTTTATGCTGACATATTTACTACTTTAACAAATATGAAGTGAATATCTTCTAATCGTCAAAAGGCATTTTGCTCAGCTTCTATACAATTATTATTACATGTATAATAATCATAGAACGGGACATTGTAGGATCCTCGTAAAAATAGCGTATCCTCGCAGTGTGCTAAACACTGATGCCGTACGACAAATATTTGCTTAAAAGCAGAAGCGGAAAAGGACTGGAATTGAGCGGATATAGAACTTACGCCGTCCCTGACATATAGGCACCTGTAAGCAAGTAGCTATCAGGGCTTGTGAAGGACATATGAACGTTCTTGTATTACATTTATTATAACAGAAAGTTGTTGAAAAAAGGCAGGTGTTGATTTGTGCAAAGGTTCCTCGGTATTAGAGGTAAGTAGAGATATGTTTGGCTTGAACAAGCAAGAACTACAAACACATATTGCATTGGTAGAAACAACTGATGAAGTGCAAATTTTACGTGAAGCTAAATTTATCCCATATTTAACTCATATTGGGTTAATCTATGCAGAGGCGTGTGATTTTTCTCATTCCATATAGCTGACTGCTTGAAAAGCTATTCAGTGGTACAAGTTAATGGAGCCAACTCGAAACATTGATGCAACAATGGGTTACGCTTACGGCATTATCTGAAAGGCACAGACGTTTGCCATGCTCGCGTCTCCTTTCATTGTCTACACGTATTATAGATGTATAAGATCGGTGTCTGCCAACGCGCTTCCTTTTGCTATCCCTATGACAAGCGATTAAACGGTCAGTTGGAACTTTAACGATGTTCTACACATACAAAACATAATGAAACAAAATAAAATTTAATCAACAACTGTGCATTAATATCACGCTTATGGTGAACTGACATACATGAGCCATATGACTGCGTTCGGTTCTTATCTTGAGATTCTCGTATATGATTTTCACAATATAAAAATCCTCGGTTTCGGCGTAAAAATACAGGCAATAGACTACGGCTGCCCCATTATCTTCCGTAGCGCGTCATCCTGCAATGAAGCAATGACAAGCGACGGTTTTTTACTGAATGGACAGCGGTGCGTTCGCCGTGCAAAAAAATTGAAACAAGCACCTATCGGTATTAAGAAATCCCCGGCCGTTCATCGTTGTAGGAAATACATATCCAGACCTATCTAAGATGCTTTTCTATCGAACATAATATACCACAACGATCAATGTTTAAACAGGTTGAAGGTGCCGTTCACCATTTAAATAGCGCAAAAGATTACTACATAGACGAAAGATTTGTATTCACTCGTATACGATAATATCCAGTGAAGTTTGTTATGGCACAGCTTTTAATGGATGCGGCCGTCCGTCCAACCGATGATGTTCTTATATCTTCACGAATAAGACCGCACAACTCGTGAGCACAACGAGCAAGATGCAAACCGCAATTTTAAGGGTATTCATTAGCATCTAGCAGATGAAGGTCATATTTTCAATTTCGAAAATAGAACACATAATGCCTATGTGTGGTTTTGGGAGAAATTATAGGTCACTCATATTAGAACCTAAAGGTTGTTGTTTACTCTGAAAGTGATCATTTGCGTTACCAGACGTAGTCCGAATATATATATACATATATTCGCTGATTGGAATGGTCTACATATCGTTGAAATTCAATTGTTGAGGCATGAGTTTTGATCGCCGGACTATAACGCCAGTTCAGCCAATGGACAAAAAAGCACTATGCTACATGTGTTAGATTTTCGAGCTCATGCACAGATTTGTAGATAAATCCACCAAAGAGATCTGGTCTAATAATGAGCTTTTCCTTGGTACTTATAGTCACCGTTTGTTGCATTGCCAGTAACCTTGTGATGATGTCCTTTTTCAAGGTGTTCCGTTGGCGAATGATCTTTTGTCAACGAAGCTGAGTGATGTCGACACGCAATCGGCACAAAAGAAACATAATCGTAAATTTTAATCTATTGAATCCGATGTGTAAACACGCTTTAAACGACTATCGATTTTTTATCTAGTTACGTCCTATTGTGAAAGTTAACTGCGTCCTTCGCTTTTGCGTTTTTGAGCAATAAAACTGTTTCTCCGCAAAAACATTTAGGCAATACAGAGACACGTACAAAAACAAGTCCTCCGTTAGGCACCAGTAAACTGTTATCCATGAAGGCAAGATTACGTTATCTCTAGTGAAGTATTTTCGAGAACTAGACAGACCAGTTGATCAAAGGAAATAACTATAGATACAACTGCTTGAAGTTTCAGCCGATCTAGGCTCAGGTTTTTATTAGGTACACCTTAATTTTCTTAGCTGATTTTTTTTACTAAGCAAAAAGTATTGTTTGCAATAACTGACGTTGTACGAAATTCGGTAGAAAAGTAAATCTGTGACACCAGTCACGTCTGGCTATAGTCATCTAATTTTAAACACAAACAAACCTTTAGCATAACTAACCGACTGACCAGTTTCTAGTATTACTGGATTTAGAAACATCACAGAAAATGCTTTATTCCTAGCTGCATCTGTTACCTTGGTTCTGAGCCTGAGCAGCATTTACAACATCTTCTACAGTTAAATGTTTCGGGCAATCGTACATGAACGCAGTTCATTCAGGGAAGAATGAGAAGATCACTGTGTACACGACCTAGCAGGATGATTCATTTAAAAAAAGGCAGTGAAGTAGACGGCACTTGTGACAACTAGGACACACGGCCTGACAGGCGTTCGCCTTGGGTGGCGAATCGCCACCCATATCAGGGAACCAATACTTCGGTGGTCGCAGGGCGGTTTAACTTTCCTGCCGTTACACGAGCAACCATAACTTACCTGATATGTATATGTATATATAAAATATGTATGTGTTTATATATATATGATATGATATGTATGTATATATATAAAAATGTAATTTCTGTTTCATTTGATATATGATTATACGTATTATGATATTATATTTATGAAACTGGATCCAATTTGAATGCGCTCAGATGACATCCCAAACGTACACAGAGTGACTATTCGACAATAATATAATGCCACTCAGATGCATGCTCCCGCAGCCATTGTCTTACCTAATTGCCTTTACTTTTATAATTGATACTGATGGCCTACGTAGGTCCACAATAGTGAATCACAATAGAAATTAGATGTACGTATATATGGATGTCAGATAAAGGCTATATGTTCTGAATCTTCTTTTGCAGCGTACGGCCCATCCCCTCGTCACGTTGGTGTCTCGACGCAACAGCTGCCTGCTCGGGCTAGTTGCCCTTTGTTCAACTCTCATCGTCCTGGTTCAGGTGGCCTCTTACAGTGACCGAGGTGCCTTCTATCAGAGCCTGGTTAGATATGCGGATTCGCCGCCCATTCAGAATCTGTTAGGCCAACAAGGTAACAGAGAAACGGATGAGGAAAAGAAACGCACACTATATGAACTCTTATATCGAATATTATATTTGTATAGTTCCGTGCATAAATTTGTTACGCAGCCATCTACATCATTTGACAAGGGCTACAAATAAAATCATTCTAGCAAAAAGTTACAGCCATAGAGCTGCTGAAATAAAAGGAATACGGACGTACAAACGGGATTTTTAAATGACCACAGCTACACAGGTTAAAACTGATCAGTTAGCGAAGCGTTATTACCGGCGAGGCCGTTTGTGAATGGGAGTGAATAAGTGAATCTTTAGTTTTTTTTTTTTATTTTTGGGAGAAACAACATAATGAACATCATATTGATAATGTAACATAGGGCTCAATCAAATCAATATAATAAAAAACAATAAATTGTTCGGTCCAGCTCACAGCAGCTAATTTTAGGTGTAAAATAAGTGGCAGTGGTCAATTTCAGCACAACGAATTATAATTACAGTTGATTATTAATACGATTAAGCCGGAGACGGAAACAACAACAAAATCATAGCATGTTTTGGAACTGGTCAGTAAGGCTTAATTGCAATGTGGATGGAAACGAAGAAAAAAACCCCAGCAGATTCCCCCGTTGCTGCTTGGACACGTGGAACGGATAGCTTACATCTCGAAGCGGAATCTTTTTCTAAATTTTTATACGAAATAGCTATTTTACAGTGACGTCTTTGTTTAATGAGAACTATCTGGGTATGGTATATTTGGCACCGCCAACGAGTTATTACGGTCCATAAACCGTTTCAATTTCAAGATACAAATCCATTTAAAATTTAAATGTTAGGTTTCGAGATCTGGAACGCACCACGCAAAAATAGCTTAAGCACACCTCTTGAGGTCTAGAAGGGTCCTTTAGCGCAATGATTATGAATTCTTCGGTACCTCCAGTGATCAGGGTTCGCCTGTGTAAAAGACGCAGTGATTTGTGTTCAAGTGAATACCCACAATTTATGTCTAGGACAAAACCAATACCGGGCAGCACGTAGTGTCTGATGTAGGTCTTCAGCTTATTAGTTATTGGCATACCCTTCTTTTCTATATGTAGTGTATTAGTTGTAACACAAGAATAAACACGAACGAATATGCCCATACCTGAACATGTCAAAACCTAACCATCCTTGCCTCCGGACGCTATAATATTTGGCCTGAAAGTTCCCTGCATTAGAAAAACACCTTCAACCGCTATTAGGTGCTGCCTAACACGCGAAATTAAGGGTGAGTTCAGCGCTGGAGGGAACGATACGACATGAAAGTAACTCAGACAATGCCTCTTGTTTCATACAAACAGATTTCGCTAATAATCCAGCATCCGCGCAGCTATAGCAAATACAACCAGACTTGCTGTAAGTTAAGGCAAAAGTAAAGCGCCTTTTGGCTTTCTGTTTGCGACCTGTCAAGAAATCATATCATAGATAAACCTAACTGTATACAGAAATGCATAGCTTGCTGGCGAGTCCAAAGAGGGTTTTTTGCTTCATCCAAATTTCATATTTATCCGATTGGGGGGAAGGCATTGCTTGAACAAGTAATCTTTGAAATGGGCATTTATCATACGAATGTTTATACACGTACTCATTCTATAGATGCTTTACAATAATAAATAGCTTATTTTAATTTAAACATTTTAGGATATTTGTTGACATCGTCAAGTGGCACAGCGCAGGGCGTAACCGCTAAGAGTGCCCAGACAGTTGTTGCCACCGCATCATCGGACATCAACTCGGAAAGGTCTCCGGCAAAGCCAGTCACCGAGAGAAAATTACAAAAGGTCTCCATTGGCATTGCAAGTTTACGCCAGCTTTCAGGGAGTGCTTCAGTACAATTGTCTTTACCAAGGCTACACGTACGTAGGATTTCATTATGGTTGATAATGGCTGAAGAAACATATGTATTTTGTTGTCGATCCACCTTGGCAGAGCGTGTCTTTGTTCGAATGCTGTTTATTTTGGACCTAAAAATGCTGCGTCGATAGTGATTCGCATTGTCCTTTTTATTGATCCACCCAATATTTAGCCTTTGCTTCATATCTATGTACCCGTTACACATATATCCATATGAATGTTTTCAGTGACCCCATTATTGGTATCAGTTTCATAAATACCAGTTATTACTAGACTACGACGTTTTGCCCTGTGTAAGCTAGCTAGCCTTTCTTGTCACACTGTGTAATTCGCTTGACTTAGATCATGCGCTTTTTCTCATCTGACAACCAAGCGTCTATTGCAAATACATATTTACAAAATCCTTTATTATATTTCTGTTGTTCGTTATTTCTCTGTGCTTCCTTATATAGTCTTCTCTGTGAGGTTTTTCCCTTATCTGTGACTCAGAAACGCCTGACTTTGTAGAACAACACTTCAGAGCTGCCTGTTAACGGTCTCTGTAACACTTTTTCTACTGACATGATAACATCATTTTACGTCGTATAAATACTTGAACAATGCCAATGTACCAGATAGAGTGATAGTTGTAATATTTCGAACTTGATGCGTTTATGGTATACGCTCGATTTTGTTTTATTTTTTTTTTCTTTTTTTGATGTTTACTATCCGCAGTGGTTCCTTGAAAATGTTGTACTCAGATCTTTCAACGTTGGCTTACAGTGTATGATGTTCAGATGTACTGTGCTATAAAGGCCAATTAATTAGTAGTAACTTAGAATGTAAAGTAAAACGTATTTTAGCCGTATGCTTATGATTCGGTTTATTTTCGTGTGAAGGATGCGGGCAGGATAGTAGGGGCAATGTTAAAGATGTACCGAGTAATTCCGCCAAACGAAGTTCGCCGGGTGCTCATTGTATCATATTTTCGTTCCGGGAGTACCTTTCTGGGGGACATCTTACAGACGCCATTGAAGACGTTCTACCACTTCGAACCATATCACATCACTGGCGCTACTCGTCTCAGATTCGGTAAGAAAAAGAATTAGTTGCTACTTTTCTCCCTCGAAATCATAACGTAATTTCTAATTATTTCATACCATATTCAAAAAAGTACTAATTACAGTATCCGTATTCCGCTATTAACTGTAGTAACTTGCCGACCGTTGAATATTAGATATTTTTATTGTTAGAGTTTACGTTGCTTTCGTTGGTTGATATATCCTATTCTAAATCCAACTGTAGTGGGGACAAATGAAGAAAGAAGATCGTGTTGTTTACTTCATTCAAGTGAAGATTTGCCCCTCTGCTGTACTTATTCTAGGTGATATCAGTGAAGGCGAGTGCGCTCGCCTGTTCGGCCATCTAATGCGATGCGAATTTGATCAATTACCCGAGTATATGGCCTGGGTGTCCCAGAATAACAATCAGTTTCTGGTTCGGCATAACCAGTTCCTCTGGCGCCATTGTACCCTCAAAAACAACATCTGCTTTAACGCAACGTACATGCAGGGAATGTGTCAACGGAGCCCGCTACAGGTAGACAGAGTGGCTGACTTCACTGATAAAAAAAAAAGTCCAATCGAATAACTTCAAGCATACTCTTCTGGATCACTAAACTGCAGTAGTTTCGATGATAATCTCAAGCCTAAAAAAAAAAAAAGTTAGACAACCTTTGACAGTGTTAGGCAACCCATTCCATATTAGTAATACATAAAATAAAAATAAAAATTTTAATGAGCGGATTTAGCACTGGATGGTAATAAGCTTACCACAACCGAACGATAAATTTTTACGGTACGTTTTGACGTAATATGGAAGTTAATTTGCTAATATGAGGCTGCATGTTCACGCAGCTGCACAACTCCAAAGATAATTCTGAATGGAATATCCCATCTTTATGGAAGCCCTCATCGTTATGAAGCTCCCATCAGAGTATGAGATAGCCTCAGAAAAGGACCGATTTGCTTAAACATTTAACACCTCGCCTTTCAATACTCAAAGGATTACAAAATCAGACCATACGTGTTTGCAATAAAGGTTAAAACCTAGAAGTCAGTTTTCTGTTCATGCAAAATGAATAGCGTATAATATTCATTGGGTTTTTCTTTTTTAGCACTCCTAGCTATTTTTTTAATGTTATAAAGATCTTCCAAATTTTTTCTAATTATATCATGGCTACTCGCTCACGCTAGTCAGGCAGGGATGGTTCTTGTCGGACTTATCTGGGTTACTCGAACAGATTTCTGAAATAGCATGGTAGCCATACAGGGAGACACTAATTTTTGGAACAATTCCTTGTTCTCCTTTAATACCCGTTATAAATTTCTTGCAATAATTTTTGCCAACGCCGTGATTTGAACTAGCGACGCACCAAATTTATTACTACTGAGAGGAGCTCGCATTAGCTATCCGGACTAGGCCGTTCCACAAATATTTCCGGTACAATAGATGCGAACGTACGCTGTTTGATGAGGATATCATGGAAATTGTCTGATGCCAGCATAATACCGAAATATATCCTACATTGATTGTCTAGCGTTATATTAGCGCTGCGTCTATTAGCCATGCCCACTTATTCCCTAGAGTAAATCGATGTTTATTCAGTCTTCAGGGTCTTCTATAGCAGAATTGATTTCATACCTACAATGAAGGTGTGTTTACATCTAGAGTTTGATGGTACTGGCGTGATGTTCACGGCAGATTTGCTCCTTGAAATCGTCTCTAATCCTATCCAACAGGGTAAGACCCTTAGATCACGCAAGGTACAACGCAATAATCAGGTATACGATCGCGTGTGTACCAAAATGATCGTTGTCATAGCTGCAATGTCGTCACTGTCATTTGTTAGAACCACTATTCTGTAAGGAACCCTAAAAATGGAGTGCAAATACGCGCTCAAGAACTTCAGCGATCTTGTTTTGATGTTCGAATCTGAAGCAATTGGAGATTCCTCTTCTGGTGGGCACACAGCTCATAAATCGTGTAATAAATCATCTAAGTGAAGGTTATGTGAAATGATTGGCGAACAAACTTCTAATTGTAACTTATTTTATTGCGAATAGGCACGAATAGTAGTTTTGCGTATTGGTCACGTTTCAGCAACACAGTTTATTGCTAGATTTTTGGCGTGGCATAAGTTGCTTGAGAAAGAGCTTCTAATTTTGTTAGAAACTGTTAAAATGTTGCAATTTATGTAAGGGACAAAATCATTCGGCGACGCTCTTGACTAAAGAAAGTACAATTTAAGTAGTAATTGGGTACCGTATAGTTTCTATGGTTTCGAAATAATGTCTTATTTATTTAAACACTTTCACACCTTAGGTCATTTTGCCACATGGCATCTCTATTTATATGAACATTATTCTCACACATTGATCACTACGGCGCATGATTAATATCTACAGTATAAATCTCTATTTTTGAAAGGTGGCTAAATTTGTTCGTGTTCCTCTACGTTACGCGCTAAATTTCGTAAGGGAAGATCCTGAGTTCGCCAAAAGCACCGCCATCGTTCATTTGATTCGGGATCCGCGCGCGGTACTTGCTTCTAGGTTAGTCCCATATGGTCAGATATATAAAGGAACGTAGTAAAACATTTCCTATCGATATCAGATAGCTGTTTTCATTGCATCCTGAGTGCAAATATACATGTCAAACATACGGATATAAGAAGGGCAGAGTCAAAATGTTAATCGCCGCAGTACTTGTGGCTGACTTCGCCTGCACGAGTAAGTGCCCATAAGATGAAGTATTGCCCCTAGACAATCAGCAGACTGAAACGACTTTAAATGCAAATATGTTTTATAGCGTATGTGATAGTATTATAGCTCATAATCAACTTCATAGTAGACTCGGTGCGCCCCGAACAGGCCAAATTATCTAAAATTCCCTTAAAATTCTTAAAATGAAGCATTACAGGTTCAAGGCCTTCAACAGTTTTGCATTTTAATTATTCCTGGCTTTCTGGTCCTGTGTTTTAGCCCTGATGTTTATCTGAAGCCTGATGTTTTATCTGAAGCAGAAATTTATAGTAGTAATAAAATCAGCTTTAAGAGTAGACGCAAAATAAGTTGAGCCCGCGTTTTTTCTTCAGTCGACGATGACCATTTGCGTCTAGTCTAATAAAATATAAGACTCAAAGTTATTCAGAACGAAAACAAATTCAGTACTTTAGGCTTATTCAATTTAGCAATGAATCAGCATCAGAATTTTCAAAAAGGTCTGTCGAAAATAACTGAAAACGTCAAGGAGGCAGTTCCCTAAGGAACATTATGGATTTTTGTACTCGAAAGCTACGACATCGCGAAGAAGCTTTAGAAGGGTTTAATTATAGACATATGGGATGCGAATATGAGAATACCAAGCGCAAGCAGTTAAACATCAACCGCGTTACGCAACAGAAAAAGGCGTTATGACGTTACTGAATAGCTGAGCAAAAGTCTGACCACGAACAAGGGAAGTCAGAGAAGAAAACGGAACGCCCTTTATCATAGCCAGACCTACTGTGCTATGCATGGCGTCCGCGTGGGACACGACAGCGATAGGACAAAAGGCGATTATGCCGGAACTTTTGAAAGCGTAAGGGTCTTAGCAACTGGACTGCCGAGGGCTTACAGAAAGGGTCGCCTGGAACGACGACGAGCTCAATGCAAATGACCTCCGAGATCTTACAATGATTAGGCTTTCCTAACGGCTAGATACAAGGCATTGTAGAAAACATATAGAAAAAAAAAATAGATCTTTTCATAAAAACGCTAAGACAAATATTTTGTTAAAATTATGTTTACTCTATAGCTTTGTATTAATAATTGGATGCACAAAACGATGAAAAAAGATAAATAAACAAACAAAATTATTTTGGTTAGCACTAGCGTTGAATACGATGATCAGATGCTTTGAGGCTCCCTTTATACATCCAGGTCTTTCTAAATCTTTTCAAAATTTCTATATAAGAATAAAGATCTTATAGAAAAGCGGGAAGTCGATTGTGTTGATTTAGCAGAAAGTTTGAAATTCTCATTAACCACCAGTTGATACTCAATATAGAAGAAAATCTTATACCACTAATTAAATCAACGCTATAAATAAGCTTCTGAGGATCATTCGACCAATAAATCCAAGTCATTATGGGTAATAGGTCAGGCAACCTGACTACATTGCCGGATCGTTACCGTATAGGGCATATTGATGAAGGCAATTAGTAATATCATTTGTTGCACTTCAGGCGTCACTTAGACTGGTGTCAGGACGAGTGCGCTCGAGCAGATGCCCTCTGTTCGCAGATGTCAGAGGACGTAGAAACTTTCGAAGAACTACAAAAATCACACCCGAAGGTGACTATGGTGCAAATTAAATTAGAGGAACTTGCCACAGATCCATTTAATCAGACGCGACGGCTGTTCCAACAACTGGGTAAGTTCTGTTGATTTTTTTGGAGGACCTGTATTGTTTTTACAAGAAAAAAATCGGTATCGGTTTTCCAAGAGAGAACCGGATTGGAAAAATACGACAACACAATAATGCATCCACATTAGCACAAACCTAGTTACTTTTCAAAGTTTACGCGCCTACAAACGATCATAGTTGAGAAGAAGGTTCACATGGACGGCTTAAAGGCGACTTAAAGCTTTGGGGTACCTGGCGTTCGCTGTACCTTCATCTACAGCCTATTTCAATATGTTGTGTACATATATTTGGGACCCTGTCATCTTGTTCGCTCGCTGAATACTTCAATTTTTCACAAGAAAGGTGATAAGAAACAAAAAGATAGGCAAAGAGCAAGCTCATTCTGTTATCCCTGTTTTTTTTTTTTGTTAACCGATAAAGGAAGTTCGGCTCGGAAGCTACTGGGTCACGCTCAGGATCACGCTTTCAAAAATTTCTACCTTTAGTCACTGGTCAATTACAGAAACGTCGGGCAGAGCCCAGGTTCATCCTAAGCGTGTACAATAAGCGTATCGCAAGTCATTGTCATATGATGAATATTTTAAATAAATACTGTTATCACTCAGCGATGAAAAACATGCACGTAGCGCACGCCTGGTTCTTTGCAGTGTGCTGTCAACGGATAGCGTTTTCATTCATAACGACTATATAACGCTATTATTAAGGGCCGTTATTCTCGTAGTACAGATCGTAAATCGTAAATTGTGCTACCTACTAATATCCTCGTCTGCGTGCAGTTTTATCTCGAACCGAATTATAAAAATGACAAAAAAAAAACATAAACAAAGCAGGCACTGTTTGTAGACCTTGTGTTGTATCCCTCAGGTTACATTCAGTCAAAAATGCACAATTACTACATCGTGTTAACTGGCGCACGTAGTTGCGCAGTGGACATTTTTCTTAACTTTTCTGTTATTTTTGAGTAGCTAGAGTTTTTCTTATTACTTCTGCTTCCCGAAACATAGAAGAAAATATATTTCCTCATCTTGAAGTAAAGCGAGCATTTACTTTCATGCGTTTTAAGTAGATTCAAGTGATTTGAGTGTAAAAATGCGAAATATCAGAATTATGATATGGTTTATATTACATATAAGCGAGTTCGCATGTTTGGGCTAGACAAATCGGCCCGACTGTATAATTGAGTTCGGCTTGAGCGACCCAGCCCCTGTTTGAAAGAGGCCATGCCTGGGTCGCTATCGTCTCAGGCCAATCAATGATACATACTACACAATTTGTTCGAATAGAGAAGATTATCTGTCGCTATAGACTAAGGGGTACGTCGAGTAGAAGGTACATTAATCTCGGCACCATAGACAAACTACGTGCATGATACGTCCAGTATATATTCATGGCCATTTACAATGGACTTCAGGAGATAGAACTGTATGGAATCAACTATTGTTTATACGTTTCCAAAGTAACATTCCACCTAATCTATTTTAAATCGTTCTTCTTCTCTAAATACGTATTCAAATATCCACGCTTCCGTTCTTTGTTACAATACAAACAGAAATGACGATGCCAATAGTCGTGGGCTAGCTGCTGGGAAGTTAGGCGTCTGTTTGTATCAGTTTTTCTCTATAGTTACTTTTCCTTCCCTTATCATGTTTAAAGAATAAAGTACGAAAATTAACTTTTAAAAGAAACTTTCACTAAACTTTTTAAAAAAATTAAAAGTTTTTTGATCATTGTGTAGTTACCCTTGTCTTTGATCACAGAAACTGCTAAGTCCTTTTAAAGCTTTTCAACTAAATATAACAAAAAAAAAAAGCGTATCCCATGCGTACACCGTTAAATAATAGTGTGCTTATATATTCTGGGTCGAAATGGGCTAAGCATTCGGTGACTGCATATACTTGAAGCGTCTCACAGTTCGCGTTGGGCAGTTGCTTTCTCTTATTGTCACGCTAACGGCCTCGTCTTTCCTCTAAAGGCTTCGAAAATTTGATCTTATTTGACGCAGCATTGCACGCGCCTACTTGACCTAGCAACGACCACGATCACGCTGGAGCACGCTGCACGAGTACGCAGTTTTTCTCCGAAAGAGTTGGATGGGAAGGGCCTTATGGAGCCTGAGCGTTTTCGATTGCGGATCTTACAGTGTCTGTATTACAAGTATCGATTTTCAAGAACCGTTCAATGGCAGGAGTTTGCTTATCTGCGTACGTCCTAACGTCATTTGTGGTGCATATCTACAAATCGTCAAGTTTAAATAGCATGGTTAACAGAGCTACAAGGACGGCTTGAACTAATGTGTTGCAGCTGGATAATGTAATATCGATCGACAACCATCTATTAAGGGCCATTCAGGTACGGTTAGTTAAAATGGTCGTTTTGGGAGATCGCTGTACCAACTGTTGCAGGAAGGGTCCAGAAAGATCGCTTTCGGTTCGCCTGTAAACCACTAATGGAAAATTAATTCTATAAACATCAAACGCACGCACCGTGAAACGCTGATCGCGAACCATTCGGCGATTACACACAACATACATGCTCCAAGGGATATCGCGTTGTCATCATGTGCACGTAACTTCTAAGCTAAACGTGTGGACCTTCGTGGCAAGATAAGCGGGTGCTGTCGAGGCTATCCCAGACAGAATATCGCATCTTGGGTACAGGATAAAAAGATCGTATATTTTAAGGGCAGGTGTAGGAATAAGTCGCACAGGTCGTTTTAATATACCTACTGGCTGGCCTGGCCTATTCGAGTGGCATAACCGTGAGTAATAACCTCTAGCCTAATCGACAATTCAGTCTCAACCTATACACTGATCTAGTGACAGCGGACTACTGTGTTTTTACATAGACGATTACGATTTTGCCTTTTCAGGGTTACTGTATGAAATGTCGACGGAAGCGTTTCTGAAGACGCATACGCAACATGGATCAACTGATCCGTACTCAACGCGTAGAAATTCGGCGGCTGTCGCCTATGATTGGCAGCAAAGATTGTCACTCAAGGAAACTTTAGACATCCAGCACATTTGTGGGCCGTTATTACTGCGAGCTGGGTACGATAAGGTCGAGGTACGTATGTGAATTTCTTGACAACGCCCGTCAACCCTATTATTTTACAACAGATGAGGAGCCATCGACAGTTTCCTTTTACTTGGGATGCATATGAGTACACATAGCTTAAGCGCCCAGCGTTGCATTGCGTCTTGTCGCCTATATAACTCGAGACAACAAAAGCCATCAGCTGTTTGGGATGCTTTTTTAAGCGTCGTTTTTCAAAAATATATTGCACTTCTACGACGAACCCATAATAGCTTTTCCAAGATGGATATCTAGCGAAATTGATACTCATCAGGGCTAACTACAGCTGATGACCAATCGGTGCAAGACTGCCTATTTTTATTTCGTGCAAATCGCATAACCTTGGAGACATACAGTCCATGCTATTTTATAATGTCGCCAAGGTACCCAAAGTCGAATTACTCTGAAGAGAATTACGAAAAGACATCGCGTTTTCCTAGCAGATTAGGCAGAGTAAAGGAAAAGTTTCATGATAGGTATGTCTACATCGTACGCAGTAGATATGTAGCACCCATATATATATATATATTGTATAAGTACGAAACAAAGACCGTGGAGGTTCTAACTGTTGTTCTATTGAACTAAAGTGTATTAAAATAAAAAAAAAAAAAAGTGTTTGCACTTGTGCTATGAACTAGCGCTACAGAATAAGAAAGTGTTGAAAATTCTGCTGCGCGCGGTGGGACCTACTGACCGTACCAACCAGATTAACGAAATACTGTCACCGAAGACACGTAAGACTCAAAAACTCAATGCCCAAGTGTTAATTGAACTAACACGTAAGTTCACAACTTAACATTATTTGCTTTTACGACTCACTCGATTTTTACTATGCTATTTTACCATCAGGTCAAAGACAACAGGGAGGAGATGTTTACAGAGTTCGAACATTCACATTGATTGATATCTACAACGTTGTTTGTGTTTCGAATGGGCCCAAATAGAGAAATTGTGACATTATGGCGTGATTTATCGCCGTTCAATCTGTAAGGGCCAGTGGATTCCGCAATGGTACAGTCGTAGCGCGTGTCCATATTAAAAATCTAGGAACATAGGAGTCTCCTTCGTTAAGACACACCTCGTCCTTTACTGGAAACGAGTCATCTGAAGCAACGTCTAACTGAGGCAGAATCTGGCAATTAAATGGGCGTCTTTTTTTATGCCACGTCAGGCTGTGTTCATTTTTCTTAGATAAATATAATGATTAAAATACATTAGCAGGGTGACTTGGTGAGTTTGTTTGGAAAACATTATCGGGATGCACTTAGAAAACATCCCATCTTTATCATAATAGGTTTGTTTTTCGTTTGCGAATTTTAGATGAAACGGCAGCGACATCCTCCCGTTGAAAATCACACGGATCAGGCTACGGCGTCAAATGAAATCAGAATGCACTAGGTTCTATGATGATTTCAGGCGTCCCTGTAAAAAGTAATGTATAGTAATGTTGTGTTTGTATAAAAGAAATATTTATAAACCTACTGAGCAGCGAGGTCACCCCACTCTATTTTCTGTTTTCATTTAGACTCCCATATATTATACTGTTTTATACGGGTCGAAAAACTTAGACAGGCAACTTCTAAAGCACGTGAGGCCAAAAAGAGGCGTCTGGGCGCGCGGTGGGTTTTGCGCTTCCTTTTATTGCTTAAACCGCTTTTTAATAGCTAGGTACTTGCGCCTCAGATTACTATATGTAGCTTGGTTATCTTATAAAACAGAAGCAAAATCAAGATGCATGCTCCATCTATTGCCCTTTCTATGGCGGAGACGCGAAGTCGCATGGACTAAGATCTAGAGCACCTACAAACTGAAGATATTGCCAAATTATGTTTTCTTCGATTTAGGCCCTAATTGAAGCGTGGCGGTAGAGTCGCGCGTTGTCTTCAAGTGCCCACATTATGTGTTGCTGTCAGCTGCCGCGCCACCCGTCCATGAAATGAACACTCTTCAAAAATTTGAGGTATTTGGCAACTTTGGTCTTGCTGGTCCTCATTTCGTCCATGTTGACAGCGTGCTCCCGGAGAGTTGCTCGTCCGTGATTGTTATTTGTCGAAATACACCACCCCTAATTTCTATCTATGCTGAAGTCAGTTCGTAAAAAACCTGTTTTTTTGTTTCCATATTTTGTTTTCAGCATTTTGTTATGATTTCATAACGCGTTCTTCGAAGAATCTAATATTGAATTGATATGGACAATTTTGCTCATGCCCGATTTTGCTCAAACGCTTCCGTGATAACAGCAACTCCTTCATTTGAAGGACGTCCTGAGGTGTAGACACTTCTCTCATAGTCCTCAATCTCACAGTTTCCGTTCCTAAAACGTTTACGTCAGTAATCAACGGCTGTTTCTTTGAAAACATTTTTGTCTTGCATGGATGCCTTCGAGATGTTCGATAAGCAGACTTTCCATCCTGAAAATTAATTTTTAGCGTTAAATTATATTGCTTTTGCTTCTAACTTAACTGTTCGTTGCAATCAGTTTAGATTCATGTAATCATATAAACTTAATGAACTTATCGTTTGCTTGAAATCATTAAATTTCTTCTACTGACGGTGCCTGCGTCAAAAATGATTCAGAATGTTATTCCGAAGTAAATAGCAATTTTATAGTGAATTGACGAGAAAGTAGCGTTCTTAGATGGCCTTAAAGTCACCTAGCTCAAGTAATATAAGTCGATAAAGGCATAGATGCTGCTTAGGTTCATGAAAAAAAATTGTGCTCTTCATGATCAAGATGCCTTATCGGCAGAAATAGCTCAAAGATAGCTCGGCCACGGTGATTCTGTTTGAACTCTTAATGTAAAAAACATAGTGATTGACCGGTTGCGGACAAGGTCGATGAAATTATCGTAAAAGTTTTGCAACACCAACATACGAATGATCGGGCCATCGTCTAGGAAGGAACGACATATCTACCACGCAAAAGTTTTTAACCATTTGAGCAAAGCTGGCTAGAAAAAAGCACCAATTCTAGGCATATGAATTTTGATTTTGATGAATTTCCGTCTATGCCCTTTCTAAATTTGATCAAGAACGGATAACATTCGATAATAATATGTCAATAAAAAAAGAAAACGGTAAACCTTAGACTGACGGTAAAAAAAAGTGATGCAGTTGTTTGAATTGGAGAGAACTGATGGTGCCGCCAAAACGATCCTTTCGGACCCCTCTAACGCCGATAGCTAACCAGATTAGAACAGGTCATTGAAAAAATACTCACCGCAATCGTCTTACATTATGACGATGTCAGACCATATACGTTTCGCTGTTCGGCAAAAACTTGAATGAGGCATTTTAGCGTGTACGCGTATGATCTTGTGCCACCAGACAGTCATCTATTTTGGTCCCTACAACACTTCCTCAGTGGTGCTATTGTAGTTTCAATGAAAGGATACAAAACCGTTTGTCATCCGGATACTACCGAAATTTTACAGTGAGAGCATCAATACGTTATCAATGATATCACTTTAAAGTTCAACAAAATACTTGCTCCCGTTATAGATTAAGGACCTCCAATACTTTTTCAACAAGCCGATAAAGTGTTTTCAACAGGGAAATGTCATGCGCTCTGCCCTACATACATAAAACTTTATGCCAGTGGTGGTATATACTAATGGAGTGAAGCTAGGAGCGTCGTTGTCGTACGTAATGACAAAACGTTAGCCTATGAGGCGTACGAAGTGTGAGGTGACCAGGGTATAGACGTACGTCGTTCGCGTTGAGCGTCAGTCATCTGAAACGACGCCTAATGCCAATAACAGACATAGACGATGTAACGCTTGTATTTCCAAGGGAATAAACGGAAATATATGTTACCAATGATTCTGATCCTGTGAACACTGACTAAAACAATACTGAGTTTAGTCTAAAGGCAAAACGACTACACCGTCTAATATAACAATGCGTTCGCTAGTTTCCCTAGGAAGCGGCCATTGTAACGTCGTACAATACATATGAATCGATAACGCCTCATATAGCATAATTATCCCAAAACAAATTGACAAGCAACGTTGGTAGGAAAAAGACGTACCTCAAAAAATCGTATTCCCGAAAACTGCCTTATTTGTGATAACGTTTCATTAGAGATTGTCATGTGGAGCTCTTTTTCCGTCAGTTCCCCTATACAACATGACAAAATCGAATAGAGATAAAAATGCCTGCATCAGGTGGCGCATTCCCTAGACGTATTATATGACGTATTGCAGCACGCCTCACAGGCTTAACGTTGACAGCGACTCAGCCTTGTAAAAGCCCTACCGCATTACTCCGAATGAAACGGGATGGATGAATAGATAGACCTTGCGTTGACATCAGCCGCCCACCGAAATGGCAATGTACTAGCGATATATAGATATAAATTCAGGCCATAACTTTTTCGGGTTTATTCGACTACTGCATGGACGTGCCCTAATGCCATATAGGATTTTCTGCAGACGAGACACGTGAAAACTGCGGTACTCGCAGTGAACTGTCGAACTTGAACGGTCACAGTTGTGAACAACGGATCTGAGGCATTCTAGGCTGACCACAAGGCACCCGACTGGAACGGCATATTGAGTGAAGAACTGGAAAAAGTTATCGGAAAATAACAAAAGGAATTTTTCAAAATGAACGACCGATATTTTCTAAAGGAAGCCAAATGACGTTGGGCAAAACCGTTAACTCGATTTGGAGCGTCTTCGCCTTTTCTGCAAGTCGACGTGTGTAGAAAAATAGAAAAAGTGTAGAAAAATTATAATCCTGCCAGTATCTGAGAGCCCACTAATCTTTATTGTCTTCGCGTGGATTATCGAAACCTTTAGACTTATCATAGGATTTTTTCGTATGAGACATTATCTTTGATCTACTAAATGAAGTTCAACGTTTGCGTTGTCCTGAGTTTTTTTCTCACCCAAAATAGTTGAACATTTGAAAAAAGAAAAATTATTGTTGTAAATCTTTCAGGTCAGTTAAGGGATGGGCAGCGCTAATCCATGCCCAAAATTTAACCCAAATACAAATAACTATTGGCCACGGCTGATGACAACCGCTTTCGGTTCCATCCGTACGTAAAATTTCCGTAAAACCTGTGAATGATCGTAGAATTAGAAATAGACTAAAACGTTCGACGCCTAAGTAGCGTAAGATGCACCTAGAGTTCTTATTAAAACAACTGAGCTCGGTTTTTTGGACATCGATCTAGCAGATTTTATTACGAAACTAAACCAACCTGGATCTTTCAGGAGGGGTACCAAGATGAAAAATCCAAATTTCGGTCGAAGAGTATGTTTCGGAGAACTCTTTTGCATTTTTCCCAGTAAACAAGCGTAGATTTACAAATTAGTAGGTCTATCGAAATCCGAGTATTCTTCTTTACAAAATATCAGCCATGCATAGAAACATCCGGTGTAGATTTTTTTCTTATATTTTGTTTATATCTGTAACAGCGTTTTACCGTTATTACTCGAGCGACCCACTAGGTAACATGGCCCTTATTAGTGGTGCGCGATAAACTCGATCGTAGCATTTGTGTTCCAGCTAGTCACATATCATAGTTATATTTAGCCAAATTTGAAAAATTCAATATTGTCCAAAATGGCGTTTAAAATTCTCTCATCTAAAAATGCTATCAATTATGGATAGTTCATTGAAGAATGGTAACGATAATTTTTAGGTAGTACGTGTGGCATTTTCGTCAAAGCCCCACTCATGAATCTGTAAAGTAGTTCGACTGATATAACCTTAATAGCAATATTGAATCGGGTATATTGATAGGAACATGGAGCGCTGCTGCGCCACAAAAGTTCACGGAACAACTCAATAGCCTACAGCGATCCTGATGTCGCTGAGTCGGTACTTCAAGACAAACCCAATGGTCACGAAGCTATCCAACTACATAAATCTCCTTCAGGAGGAATAAGGAGGTGACCGTTATGAATTGCCTCTAAACTGCTTTAAGCGTACATTAGTTTCCTTTGGAACTTTATAGAACTATAGCAGACATACTCTACACAAAGAAATAAAAATATTATTTATGTAAGTACATAGAAGAAAAATAGCTTCAAATACTGCTATAGGAATGACGACTTAAATGAAGCTTAGGCCACAATATTTATGGAGCAGTCTGACAGACTTTACCAATATGCCCTGTTTTTTTTTTTGTTG